AATTGTGCTGTTACCCGCCTTGTGTAAGAGCCAGGGTACGTGGCACCTAGATGGCCAATGGAAGGGAGTTTTGCGTGATCCACCAGCGCTCACTGCTTCCACAGCGCTGGGCTACAGGCGTGCCACCACTGCCCCGGCATTGATAACTGGGCTGAGTCCATCAAGTCGCTGCACTTGGGAAGCCAACATGATCACGAGCGGCTGAAACCCGAATTCAAATCCAGGTTGTCGGCGGTGCCAGCTCAGCAGTCTGGAGCAACCTGGCCACCTCACGAGCAGCTTTGAGTGGAAGCTGTTTTGGCACAAGTGCACATTTTTCACGAAAGACAAATCCTTGGCAATTTGTCTCGTTTTTTTGTCACGGAGACATCCTCGCTGTCTTTTTTTGGCCAAACAGCGGGACGGAAATGAACATTCGCCAACATGTAAATGCATAATCTGTAATGACTGCACATTTCCTCTTTGAGTGCATGTCAGCCCTGTGTGTGTATGGCTACCTGTCAAGCTCACATTTCCCAGTTGAATGAGAAAAAAGCTTACAGTACATGTTTATATTGTATAATCCACTATGGGTGGTCAAGTTAAGTTTGAACACAACCACATCTGATGCCAACGTGAGCAAAACATATGCGAAGATACGAGCATAATAACGAGTCACATTTCATTTACAGGCCCTGATAATCCAGTCTCTCTTGCAATACGTAGAAAACCTACATTTTGTTAAGTTCACACTGTGCCATGTATGTTGTGCTAATTTACATCGTCATTATTAGCGATCGTGATCACTCCACTGCTCATTGCCAGCCCTCGTCTCTTGCGATGCCACGATCCTTTGCATTGTTGCGCATGCGCTCACACCAGAATCGAAATATTTATTTATCCCGGAGGAATCCGGTGAGCTATGAAGCTATTATATCCGTAGATGTCAAGGTGATATCATCGCTACATCTCCACAGGTGGTCGCACTCTTGGCTGAGCGTCCGCTTTGGGCTGACATCCAACCCTCAGTCAAGTCCATCCTGCCCTCATTCCTTGTTCGCGATGGGTCCTGCCTAATTGCACTTGCACTTGCCCTCTGACCCGTGTGACCCGTGTGCTCTTGTTGTCGTCTCAGTGTCATTTTTTGAGTACCTTAAAAAAACTATCAGTTTTCATTGTCAAGTTTTTTTCCCACGGTTCCGATCCATATGTTAGAGCAGGAAACACGGCACTGGCATTTATCTCAGCAACGTGTTCGCTGCCGTGTACGCAATCATAGAATATATCACTGGGGTCGAGGGGTTTGTGAATCACACAGATGTTGTGAAACTCCATTCCCGTTGGTGTCGAGGTGCCGTAAACCCAGTGCAGCAAAAGTGTGGACTTCATCTGTTCCATCTGTATGGGTGAAACGTATTGCTCCCTGACACGCGCGGGGTTTCTCTCGGGCGCTCCGATTTCCTCCTCCATGTAAACACTCACGATTGGGGCTGGAGTCATCTTCACTCGTAGAGGACTGCTGATCTTGGGTCAATTGTTGGCACCGGTTAACCACCTGGCCACTGCCCCCCAGCTCGTCTTTGATTGCTCGCGCCTCCGTGTCGTTCTCTCCTGCTCTGAGAGTGAGCGGGTGGCATGCGGTGCGCGGCACAATGCAAGTTGCCATCCACGATTACCCACGATGGGGACCCTCACGCGGCATTCTGCCCTGGGCCTCCTGGAAGCAACGAGCGGCGCTGAGTGCGTACATCAACGTCTGCATGGCATCACGGAGTCTTTGATATCCAGATTACAGCAAGAGAGAGAGAAAGTGTGTGCGCGCTTATCAAATTTACAATAGGAAAAAACAGACGACCAAAAGAAACATCAAACCCCAAAACTGCAGCACGTGCAAACTGGCTTCGCAGTGAGTGTTATTATGAGCCGGCTATACATCCTCTTGTACATGCATACTTATATTAGAAAATTTAGTCGTTTATTATCGCTCTATGTGTGTTCCTCTTGCGTGTGCCACGTGACTTCTATTATTTTTACATACTTCCCCACGCTGCTCAGTGCAAGTCAGTGAAAGCGGGGAGCATAGACGTTGGAGCACGGTACAGTATCTACATCATGATTGGTCCACACCAGAAACAGCTTTCTTTTGAGCCTCGTCTCAAACGGTGTTAGACCAGAGGACGCCTTTTTCAAGGACAGTGCATATATTATCAGAATATGTTTTTTTGTTTGCATTCTGACCACAAGCATTGTGGTTAATGCAGACATGATTCATTAGAGCAGGAAACACGGCAGTTTGGTGTTTTAACATCTTAACACAACTGTTGTGCTGCCGGAAAAAAAGGGGAAAAACCTATTGTCATAGTACAGTACCGCAATGGGATACGACCGGGCGCATTCAGAGTAATTTGATCAAAGGCTTGCGATCGGTATTGTATAAAATAGATGTGTCAGCTACAACCCATTGTCAACCCACTCCGGAGTGAAGGCCTGCCCATGCATTCTAAGTCGTGGGGGTTGATTGACCATACTTCACCACACTAGCCAGTGCAGATTCGTGAAGGGGGGGCAGGGGGTGAGTATATTGGTTGAGATATCACTCACCACTGCGATGTTATCCTTGCCTGGGAATCGAACCCAGGTCACCGGAGTTCACCAAACTCGCTGTTCCCCTCCCCCACTGGCGGCAGTATATCATGATATCTATCACCTCACTCCATTGCTCCAAATGAGCAGAGCGCATTAGGGAGGATTTAAACATCGAGTTGTTACGGATGCACGTACCACATCAAAGACAAAGGTCCCCCCCCATATAGCCATCACTGTTTGGGGCAGGTGCTGTTAGCGTGCAGCACCTGTGAAGGCCTGCACGGCTCATGAGGGGTGGGCGATCAGAGCCACGTCCCTCCCACCAATCACCCTGAGAAAAGTGCAGCGAGTTATCACGCAAGGATTTTGCTGACACAGTTACATGAAAGAGACTTTTCAATCCATTTGGAAAACGTGTACGGGAGGCACCGGGAGCTGTCGCTTCAACAAAAACCTTTCTATGAATGTTTTATATACTGAGTGCCTCTTGTGCTGCAAAGTATTTGGAAGCCACATTTTGTAAACTTGGGTTTTGGATTTTTTTCAATATATATATTTTTTACGTATTATGCAAGCTTCTAGAATGTTTGAATTGCTGATGATCGCGCGGTCCTGCCAATACACGTGGACATCCCTTACACGAGGCCCTACAGTTTAAAAAAGGGTCTCCTTACTTGTAATCGTCTCACTTGCATAACCGCAGCATTATTCAACTCAATATATTTTATGACAGCTGTACTAAAGAAACTCAAGGCTGCCCGCGGTGTCAGTGTGCGATACGTGCTAACGAGGACACGCGCGGGCTTCCGACTCGACGTGTTATTTGCAGTCGGGAAGACGCTTACCAAGTGCAAAGGTGATCAGGGCAGAGCAAAACCCCGTGGAGTCGATAAAATGTCTGCAATTGGCGACGGAGTTCAATGCGTGTCTCTGAGAGAACGTGAGAACGTTTCATGCCGCACGGTTCGTCTGCTGATACGCGCCCACGTCGTCACTCCGGACGGGCTGCATAGGTCCGAGTCACACAATAAGTCTCTTGTTAAAGGCCAGGAATGTATTTTGTTGCCAATTTTTGTTTTACGTTGCCAAAAAAAAAATAATAAAGGACGAGTTTTTTGTTTGTGTTGTTGTTGTTGCCTCTTTTGTTGAAATTTCCCTCCGTTTTCATTATTCGTTATGCTCGTAAAGGAGTCGGCGGCGGGTAGGGGAGTTGTTGAAAAATGCAACATGTTGATCGAGTCATTGTTATTGTTCATGCGTGTGTTCAAGCGATTACCGTGAGCATAATGTGGCCCACTGGAGAGAGCCTCGGCCGAGCACAAAGTCACCAAGTTCACGCGATCCAATTACAGCACAGTACGCGCAATGTTTTCAGTTGCATGAGAGGGGGGTTTAAAAAAATTGTAAAGTAATTAAGTGAAGAATAATGAAGTGTTAAGTTATTCAAATTTGCTGAGCAACAGAAAAGTATTTTTTAAATAGAAAGCCATGTAGTTATGAAGTAGCCGTGTGGATTTATTTTCACCCGAATGTACACTGAAGCTTTCTTGTTCATGCTACATAAACGGTGGGTTTTAAACTTTTCCAACCACTATGACGTATTCTTTATAAGGTGTTACCAAATATCCATGACACCAGCTTTGAGGATAGACCAGAATCCGACTCTCCCAATACCAACATTACCCTGACTCTTACACACACCACATAAACACACACACAGAGCCACACACAGAGCCCCCCACACACAGAGCCCCAACCCCCCCCCCCCACATACAAAGCCCCCACCCTACATAAGCCCCCCACACACACAGAGCCCCCCCCCACACACACAGAGCCCCCCCCACACACACACAGAGCCCCCCCCCCCACACAAAGCCCCCCCCCACACACACGGAGCCCCCCCCCTCCTCCCCACAGACACAGAAACAAAGATCCCCCGTATAGTTTTTGGGGCAAGTGCTGTTAGCGAGCACCTAGGTTGGTACAGTACACGAGGGGATGGCTTGCCAGCACCACGCCTGACCGCCTTTGTCTCCCCCAGTGGCGATGTTTACACAGTGCACCAGCTCCTCGTTTGAGGCTGAGTCGACCCAGTCCCAGAGGACCGGTTCAAGAGAATCGTCACTGGCGTCGGCCGTGAGCGGGAATCGAACTCGGGTCGCCGATGTTCGTAACGCAGCACCCCCCCCCCCCACACATCATCACACACGGCCCCATAACAACCACCCACAGCCCCACACACACAGAGCGTCACATACACACAGAGAGCCCCACACACACACGCGCACGGAGCAACACTAAACGCCCAATGGCTCACAGACGGAGGCAGGAAGTAAATAAATAAATAAAGCGCGGCACTCGGGGAGAGGGGGGGGGCGCGCGCGGGGTTTATAAGGCTCGCAGGCGGCGGCGACGGGCAGCAGTTTGCACCCGAAGACAAGGGTCTGCAGACCGAGCTCACCGCACCACCTCAAGGTCACCACCATCAACCACCACCACCAACCGAGCATCACCGTCCGTCTCTGCTCGCCTCTCTCTCTCTCCCCAAGCCATGGAGTACAAAGGCTTGGCCAGCTGCTCGCTCTGCTGCTTCACATTCAGGACACCACGGGTACTTGTTTGCAACTCTTTTCTTTGGTTCGTCGTAAGATAGTTTCCTATGGTATCGTTGTAAAATTACAATTGTTACGTGTGAATGGTTCTGTCGCGGTTGAAGATGAGTGAAGTTTTTTTGTTTGATTCGTTCGTGTAGTTTTAACGGTCGTGGTCGTGGTAGTTGGTGGTGTTATAGAGGTGCAGGGATTATGATGACTTTATAGAAATGCAAAATACGTCGTAATTTTTAGAGAGCTCTTTTGATTTGCTGCCGCGTTAAGTGCCTTTGCTGGAATTTGCGCGGCTGAAAAGTTCTAAGACGGCGACAAAGAAAAGCCAGGGGAATGTTTGGAAAGGACTGCAAATTCAACACGCTTTGGCTTAAAAGTGCGGCAATTGGGAGTCCACGTGGCTGCGTGCTGAGAGCAAGGCACCGTTGCAAATCTGTGAGGTTGAATAAACTGCCCCATGAATAATGATGATCTTGAAGGCTCGTCGGTCGGTCAAATGTAAACTATTATTTAAATCTATTTGACTTGCAAAAAAAGCAGACCTCGTGTGCAGTTCATTTTCTTCTTGTTTGCGACCCGTGTTAAAGTTGTAAAACCACGAAGCAAATGCGATGTCGTTAGTACATAGCCCGTTATGAATTGCACGGTCAACATCGGTTGATCTTGGGACATTTTATACAATGCACGGGTGTCGATAGCAGGCTGGGTTTAATCGCAGTGCTCGGATGTCTATTATTGGATTGCAGTTCGTTACATTTCACAACTCCGCATTCTGGAATTCATTAGATCCCATACGACTGCGCTCCCAAGATATTTACAACCAGATCACTCGGTCGCACCTCAACGGTTTACTCGGAGTAGTTTCACCTCAGGAGACAACATCTGATTACCGCTGAAATTCACCGCTTGACATGAGGACCGCGTCTAATAGACTATTCGGGATTGAATGTATCAACATTAAAGTGTTCACAGTTAAAACTTGATTTTAACAGTGGCATTGTTCACGAATAACCCCCCCCCCCGACTCATAAACACACGTAGTCTTTTGCAGCTGCGTTCTATCGCTCAGTCTAACACATTTTATATATATATACAAACAAGTTGTTATCACGGCTCCAAGGCCAGCTAGATTAATATCACAAACGCGCAACAAAAATGGGCTTGGGTATACATTGCACGAGCGAATTTTTTTTTTGGCAAATGCACGTTAACTCTTTGTCCCTGGCCGCGCCTGACAGACGGCGGCTGTGGGCTGCACCGCAGCACGGCCCCTGACGCTGCTGGCTCCTCTGCTGCTGATGCTGCTGCTGGGGGCAGGCAACTCGCGCCCCGTGCGCGCCTCCGAGACGCTGTGCGGCTCCGAGCTTGTCGATGCCCTCCAGTTCGTGTGCGGGGACCGCGGATTCTACTTCGGTGAGGACGCGACCACCTCTCGGAGCGGGTTCGTTGCTTACAAAAAATGGAAGGCCGGCAGAGGGAGAGAAGAGAGAACGCCGAGTCAGAGCATTGGCGAACTGGCACCGGCGGAGTTGGAGTAGAGCTGACCACTCAGCACATGTTAGTTCTTCCCGTTTGTAACCAGCGTGAAAGTTGAACTTGGGGAGAGCACGAAACGAATTCCGTGCGGCAAATGAAATTACGCAGCCCATTATAAATTGCATGGTCAACATCGGTTGATCTTTGACCATTTTCTATAAATACGCGCGTGTCGATAGCGGGTTTGATTTAATCGCAGTGCTCAGATGTCTACTATTGGGTTGCAGTTCGTTGCATTTCACAACTCCGCATTCTGGAATTCATTAGATGCCACACGACTGACAACGGGTTTATCTTGATGCACTCCCACGATATTTACCACCAGATCACTCAGGTCACACCTTACTAGGGCATCACATTTCGCTGGTGATGGTTTCATGATCCGCACATTGAAATATATTTCATGTTTTTCATGAACGTACTTTTTCTTTGCTATACACTCCACGAGCATTTCTCACAAGACAAGTTCGACGGATTGGTCAATGAACATTTGAGGCAATATGAATGTTTGCATCATCGTCGTGATGAGCCATAGTCAATCCACAGCTGGATGAGGCCTCCCCCCCCTCCCAAAGAAAGCCACCGCCATGTGTGAAGATCCTGCGAAGTAACCATCTATCTAGAACCTGTACATGAGCTGCTTTTATCGCTCCATCTCCTTGGTGGACGTCCACTCGGACGCGTTCCACACCTTGGCTGCCACTTCATCGTTATTCTTAACCATCGGGCTTCGTCCCTTGTGGCGATGCGTCCTGCCGCTAGGCCACTTACTTTTCCTGAACAGTTTACACGGCATAGGCTTTACGTGTAGATTATCTTAATCCACGTGCTCCCCTTTCTGTCTGCGTTTCACATGTAAGCAGAACTCCCCTTAAGTGTCTCCAGACATAAACGTGCAAAAAATAGTTCTCGTTAAATTGGCATATTGGCTTTCCAGAGCAAATATTATTTAGAGCATTTATTGAGATAAAAATAAATCTCTGCACTGGTTTCCACCACCCTGGGCCTCATCTGCAGTGTTTTCTTCACTTAAACGATAGCCCTGGTCTGGTTAACTTGAGCGTTACTCATTAACCTCGAGTTGGTTCACCCGTAAAACACCAACGAAGCATGCTAACATTACACCCTTTCATGGCTCCTGGGGCAGACTTGAGCTGTCAATCTTGAATCACCGCAATCGTCTTATAACTCAATCTAAAACACATTTAATTTTAACCATAAAATTATAAACGTGTGTATTCAATTGTAACCTGCAGATATTTTAATGAAAGCACTAAACTTCAATATTTCATCCCCAACATAGAAATATTTCTCCCCCTTCTCCCCTTTCGTGCCCAGTATTCATTATTTATTAATGCTGCTCATCTCGAGCCATGCTTTCTCCGTCTCTCCTGAAGACTTCCGTGCCGAAATTCCATATTTTTCACGGTCATCTAGCCCTGGATAAGCAGTTTTTTTTAAATATTGTACATATCCTGAGCATTATCTCACTACCTATGCAGGAATTAAGTTATCACATTGTGCCTCATTTTAAATTAAACCCAAGCATTGGTGGTGCCCATTCCACCCTGTGGGCTAAAGCCAGTGGTAGACATTTCTCATTTCGATGATGGAGGCCAGTCTCTCCATCAGACACCCACTGTTAACATCCACAAAGTGGTACTTACTTTCAACAACTCAAGAGGGATGATGGGTGCTCAATAGTAAGAGTGGAACACTATGGCCAAAGCCCCACAGGGCCGGATATTTTTTATATCACATTGCAATATTCTACACTCCAATGTGTTATAAATCATGCTTTAGGTAATACCTGTCTTATTAATTCAATGTGATTATGTTATGCAATTACATTATATGTTTGAGGCTGAACATGTGCAATGGAGCCATTTAGTATGCATAGCAATTGCTATTATGGGTTTTTAAAATTTCGGTTTCTACTTGAAGTAATACAATTCCAAATGGGAATACGTTTTCTCTTGTGAACAAGAAAACTGTTGCTCAATTCCGAGTCGGCCGGCGGCTGTAAACGACAAATTGTCCACAGATTCAGTTTTGTCGAGCTGGGTGGTCTAGACAAGGCTGAGACCTATGGTACGCGCGACCACGCTGCACCGCCCTCTGTGTGTGTGCTGTTAAACATCGATTGCGAGCGCCTCGGTGCTGACGCGCGACTCCTGTTGCAGTACGGCACCCATCTTCACGCTCGCACGGCCGACCCAAGAAGGGCATCGTGGAGGAATGCTGCTTCAGCAAATGTGACCTGCGCCTTCTCGAGATGTACTGCGCCAAGCCCGCCAAGTCTGAGCGGGACGTCCGTCCACCATCATTCAAGGTACAGATGCAGTACAGCAAGTACACCTTCTTTGTTAAACTCGTTTTTTTCTTTTTTTAACCAGATAATAAGGCCCACTGAGCTACATAGATCTTCTTTCAGAAGCGACCAGGTCACAAATGATAGCTCAACAAAGTGGCTTATCACGTGGAAAGTTGTAGCAGCCAAACAGTGTAATCGCGTGTGATTCTAAATGTGGAGGGATAAACCGGAGGACCTGGAGAAAAATCCACGTGACTACGGCGAGAGAGGGAGAGACACGCAGACTCCAAATATACAGCAGGCATCAGGGTCGGGATCAAATCCATGACCTCCTGCATACGAGGCGAAGGAGATAAAATTTCGCCACCACAGTGCCCTAGTCGTACTCTTCTCCCCCTGCCTTGCCACCACGGTCATACGTTCATCCAGTATTGGCCGCGCGATGATTTGATCCGGTTGGTAGCCTTGACGAGGTTCCCACACGGTGTGCAGCAAGTGGGTTGAGTCCCTCCCGTGAGGAGCGTTGTGTTATCAGCTCGCGTCAATTGTTTGTCCCCTGCTAGTCCAGTTTCCTCCCACACCGTGTCCTGTAAGAAGCCACTGTGGAAGGAGTCCACAGCTATCGAAAAAAAAACATCGGAGTTGCTATCCAGCCTTTGGCGACCGAGGGGAAACTATGAAACCATAGGGGTGGCATGGAGTCTGAGCAACTTAGAGGATGAATGTTGGCTGTGCCACAGCGCTGGGATGTGGCAGAGGAAAGGAAAGTGAGGGCAATGTGCGGTCACATCAATGGCATTTTCCGTTATTGTGACATTGACAGCACAATGTGACAATTCAACGCGGTGATTTTATTCAAATAATGTTGCGATTATGACCTCGAGATCTGTGAAAAGAAATTAGCAAACTGTGGTTTCTTAAAGATCCAATTCTTACCTATATCTTTAATATTAGTTCATATAAATTAGCATATTATGTAATTGCGTTTTTTCCTTTACCTATTAATTACGAGTCAAGAAATGTGTTGCCTTTTTGGTATTCTATTAGAATATCAGCTTCACAATTGACACATTGACCAGGAGCAGTTTTAATTACTTTACAAAATAAGAGACATTCAATACCGTTTATTCACGCGGGAACATTCGTTTCTCAAGTAGTTTCGCGAATGAACTTCAGTACGATCCTGCCCGCTGTGGAAGGTACATCCCACTGGGCGAGCCGAGCGCGGCACTGCCAACGATTCCGGCAGCACTGTACTTGACCAGTCGCTCAGTTGGGACAACATTGATCATTGGCACCTATAGAAAGGCATGCAACAGCATCCTCATCATCATCATCAAATATCTGTGAAAACTACTGGACAGCGGTGAAAATTAGCTTAATAGCTCAACGGATTCCTCCAGTCTAAATAAATATTCAGATTGTGATTCTGATATGCCACGGTCATTCGCCTTCTGGCAAGCGTGAGTGAGCCCACCCCTTTTGGATCTCAACGTTGTGCAGCTACAACCACCTCATGTTTTACCCCTTCCTCCTGGACTCTTACAGACTCTGGCATTAACTCCGCGCTTATACTATTCCAAAAGTCTACCTCCTATCTACAGACTTTACAGTGTTTAGTTCATCATTGGACCTTAGCTGCTCACCCCGAGCTATACATTCTCTGCGATTGCATTGTCTTTGTCCTGTTCGCCTTTTGGCGCTCTCTGGTCTAACACTGGTGTGTTAAAAAGCAATGCATCATATTATCAGAGAATGTTTGTTTGCATGTTCACCACAAGTACGTGTGGTTAGTGCAAACTTGATTCCTTGCAAAAGGAATCTACTTCGTTTCTAACATCTTGACACCTGTTTTATTGCCAGCAAGTGTCAACACCCATTCTTATGTTTTACAGTGTTCAGTTTCTCTGTTGTCAAGACTTTATTACCCAGTCTACAGACTGACATACCGATTCCTTATCAGCAATCATACTTTGTTTTTTAAATGTTTTGAAACTTTACAGACATCGCACACATTTACTAATATTTGCACAGCTCATGCACATTTATTTTGCTATATTTACCGTCGCAGTGACGAATAGTGAAGTAAAATATCTACAAATAGATTAAGCTTTGAAAAAGAACTTCATAGCTCATCCGATTCCTCCAGTCTAAACAAAGATTCTGATTCTGTATTCACGTGTGGATTACGTGTTAATATACAAAAAGCATTTTAAGAATATTTTTTATTAAGCCACGTTCAAGTGGAAACCATTGTGTGGGCGGCCCACTCATTACACACAAAGTGCTTGCCACAAATGGACCACGATACCTCGCCGATCTCGTCAAGGAACATAAACCATCGAGCAAAGACGGTCACGGCATCGCTCGCTTTCAGATGCGCTTCTGCGGCCGTCTGGAATGCTCTTCTTTCCGATACGAGGAACCCACTGGAGCTATGCACTTATAAATCACGTAGATTTGAAAACGAATTTCTTCAGAGCTGATTTTGTGTTTAGTTTGTTGTCCTTCACTCCGCAACCTCCGATTTGCACGGTTGGCTACTTAGGGTGCGAACGAAGCTCAGCACACACACACGTACGACGCGCGGGGAAGCCGCCCTACCCTAACACCACCTTCTCTACACCCCGCAGGATTTATTCAAGAAGTCGATGACGAACAAGTACTCGAACCACGCGGCGTGGCCCGAGAAGAGCCACGAGCACGGCAAGGTGCTCCCGCGCTCCCTGCCGGCGCCGAGCGAGCTGCGTGCCCTGCGGGAGGCGAAACGCAACCGGCAGCTCGTCACCACGCAGCGGCCGCTGGTGCCGCGCCAGGCCAGACCGGCACGTGCGCGGTAGACGGAGGGCGGCGGGCGGCGGCGGTCGGCGGCGTTGGGGGGAGCCGTCCCAGGAGGGCCTTCGTCCACGGGGAAGGGCGACGACGACGATAACAGCCGTACTCTGTCCGGGCCAAGATGCGACTTGCCACTAAGGACTCAACGATTGGAAACTTGAAAACGGCTCGAGGTGGGGGAGGGGTGGGGGGGCCGTTTGGCCTGAGAGTGGGAACGAGGACAGACTCCAGCACAGGCGTGCAAATGGTGCATCTCATGTTGTGAGAGGGGCTGAGGGCATGTCTCATCTGTGAAATTTGACATTGCTGTTAAAAAAAAGGGAATGACTTGATAAAAGGCCTCTAGGTCTTTTAACTCTGCACTAAGCAGCACTGTCAAAAAACAAATTATTACGTTCAATAGATGTGTGTTTAAATGCTTTTTGCATTATTATTTAATTGTGCTTTGCGTACTTGCACTATTAACAGACACTTAGATCAAATATACCTTTAGCATTGCTATAACATCACTGGCAGACTGCTCCATCGAATTATTACAAGCTTCTGCTAATTTGCGTCCTTCCATTCGTTTTTTTTCCCTTTCTACCTTATACAGTATATAAGAAAGAAAATGTATTTTCTGTAAGTGTAAAACGACACTATGCTATGAATTTGTAATGAACGCTGCGTCGTATTGAACATGGTGCTACTTTTGCTTGAACCGTGGAGCGTGAGGAAACAACCACAGACAGCAGCAAGCAGCACGGGGAGGCCCGGTTGGCACGCGTCGTCACTCACGGTCACTGCAACCTCGGGCCGTACGCGTGCGCGCAGTGGCAACCCCTGAACATTTTTACCTTCTCGTTTGTGTTTCCCCCCCCCCGCCCCCTCTCGCAAAAGCGACGACGTGCAGAGTTTTTCGAACAAAATGCGCGCGAGCGGCGGTCACGAACGAATCGACTTGGTTAGCTCGCGGCCCGCGAAGGCGCTCACCGCAGAGCGCCGAGGTCTTGGGACACTTTGGTTTAACGCCGTTGTGTGCACTAGATCGACGGACGCGCGTTTAATTTCTCGTTGCACATCACTTCCGATTGTTTCGTCATTCTTCGCTGACAAAGTGGGACGTCGTGCACTCAGGATAAACGCTCGAATTCACCTTTGACCCCTCAGTGCGTCATTGAATGGACTGGCAACACCTTAATACATAGAGGACCGCAGAGTTTGGGCAATCATTGGTAGCGCTGGATCGCCACATGGGTGCCTTCCCGCTCGTCTGTGGTTCCCCTTTGCGCCTCTGAGTCGTCCTCCCTCTCTCTCCTTCGAGAGCGAGCGAATGCTGTGTGGTACGTTACAAGTCAAAATTATATATTACTATTATTATAATAATAAACAATGTATTTTGTAGAACTATTGGACAGTGCCATCTATCGTGATGCAGGGCAGAATGTACTGCAGGTACTGGTCTGCTGTCTGTGACACAGCAGGGTAGATACTGACCCAACACTTGCCCACCGAGTGGGCAAGAAAAACTATTATAATTAAAGTGGTTTCCGATCAAACAAGCATGGTTCAGTGCCCATCTCCTGTTTACACCTCTGAGCCAGTGGTGGAAATTCCACATTCTTATTATTTTATCCGTGGGAAAACCACCGTTGTCCACCAAAGTAGGGCAGTACTGTCACATTTCTGCAATTCTATATTTTTTCTTCTTTGAAAAAATCGTGGGGGGAAACATATTTTTTTAAGATGCACGTTTTGACAGTTTTCTGTCGGGATGAAAATGTTTTAAGCATGTTTGTGTTTTTAGCTGTTGCATTTCAACGTTATAAATGCACTTGCTAAACAATTAAAAGGTAGCGTTGACATTGTTTCGGGTAAAAATGTACTTTTAACCGACACTACATTTTTCCTACGGCGAGTTTCGCCAATATATACACCAAAAATTGTCTACATGAACCTTATAACAAACATTCGGTTGTGTAAAATATCCCCCCAAAAATGTGCACCGTCTAAGGGAGCACGTGATGTCCCATTTTGCAAGCGTACTTTGCTTCGCTGTCTTGAGTACTTGACTACACACGCGAGAGGGGTTCGCGCGGCTGAGATTGATACAAGCAAACGAGGCCTGCCTCATGCCATTTGTATCTGATTAGGGCACTATTTATTTCATAATTTGTTATTTCGTGATCACGTGTCGACAGTAACATCATTCGACACTGACGTGAGCTGCATTACAATGTGGTACAAAAAGCAAAAAAAAAATGTTAATTTCGCATCGTGTTTTTTTTTCCTTTCCGTCATTGCTATTTTTTTTTATATCCAAAGACGTTAACACGATCGCGTGCTCATTGCTGAATGGGTAACTGTGTTGTAAATATGAATGTGATATGGTATTATACAAAAAGGCTAGAAAATATTTGCCTTTGTGCACCTTTGTAGATTTATGACTTTTACTTAACTTTTTTTTTGGGGGGGGGGGGGGTTTCTAGATTTGTTTTAATGATACAATGACATGCATTGTTTTATTATTGGCCATGTCCAACACAATTGCTGCAATGCTAACCAGCAAAGTATTTAATCGAAAAAACACTGTTCAGCTGAGAACAACAGTTTTGGGGTTGTTTAAAACTTAATTAGGCATGAATGTGCGGTTGGACATTCACATTACAATAATTGTATTCCAGTTAGAAACAACAATCCTCCTGAGAACACGAACTTTGCTCCTGTCATTAAATTACAAAGTTCTGAAATATTCAAATATGTACCGGATTATAAATCGTGCCGTACAATTTAAACCACAGAACATGCGAAATCAAGCCATCTTGAACTCAGTGTTTTGATCGGAAACATTATAATCCCATTGCCACTAATTGGGGCTTGCTGTATATTTTGAGTTTCCATGTTCTCCCCGTGGTCGCGTGGATTTTCTCAGAGTGTACTGGTTTATCCCTCCACATTTAGAATCAAAGGTGCATTTAGAGTATTTGGCTGCTGGACACTGCCGCGCGATAAGCAACTTCGTTGGGCTATCACTTATGACAGCCAGGTCCGCTTCTGAAAAATACCTTTTTAGCTCAGTGGACCCTACCTGGTAAAATGTAAAACAGTTTTTTAGTTGAAAACAACAAGAAGAGCCATAATCTCTCTCGTGGCCGTGCCTTACACGCACGATGCGCTCCCATCCCCTGGGCGTACCATCTCGTCTCACGTAGGGCCAATTCCATGCCATTTCCGCGTAGGTTATTGTTGTAATTTGGCTAAAACGCATTCACATTTTAACTTAATCACCTCTTCCTTGAATGCATGAATGCATGTAAAATGCATTGTCAATGTATATTTAATGACAGAAGCAGAGATTGTCTTTTAGCTGGCATCCCAAGGAATTGTTGTAATATTAATGCTTCCAACTGCAGTCAAGCGGGGTTTTTTGTTGTTGCAATGTTACATAGTTCTGGCTGCAAACCTACTTGCCGAACATTTTATTAATCAACTGCAATAATAATAAGAAGAACAACAGCGTTCATACGATATTCCCTTTATCTTAAGTACCGTTTAAATGTGTAGTGTTTTGCTGTCAGTAAAAGTGCGTAACAAAACAAAAATGTGTCCTTTGCAGCACATCGTAACCTGACCACTGCAAGATCCAGTTTATGTTCAGGGGAATATGTACCTGAAAGGAGGCAAGCGAAACCTCTGTGAGGGCGTGCTGCTTGCCAAGACGTTCACTAAAAAAACCCACGTGTCGAGCTTCCACAGCAATGCTGAACTGTGCGTGCAGTAAGCAACTTACAATTTGCTACGACAGCAAAAAAAAAAACGGTGACCCAGACAGATCCGTCGTGGACCGAAGCAGGCTCGCGCGAGGACTGCCATGTGTGTGATGTATCTTGTCTTTCGTGTACCGGACACTGTAATCAATAAACCACCGATTAATCTTCTCTTGCATTCTGCTCCACAGTTTTGACTCTGTGCGTCTATAAGTTTGATAAATATGGGCGAGGAATTAAAGGCTAACTCCACGGGTAATATTGCAGCACGTCCATACCGTGCCGAGTGAGATTCTAGCTATTCGGAGTCATCATCATGATCAGCCATGGTCAAATAGTGAATTCACTGCTGCATGAAGGCCTCCCCAGGTCAATGCCATCCCTTACAGATCTGCGATCTCACAATCCATTTCTCTCCTGCACAGGAGCTGTTTTAATCACTCCATCTCTGCGGTGGAACGTACTCTCAGGCGTGTTCTCACATCGTCACCAGACTTGTCCATCGGCAAACTATTACTATTTTTACCAGGTAAGGCCCACTGAGCTATATGGGTGTTTTTCATAAGCGACCTGGCCACAACTGATAGCTGAATAAAGTGGCTTATCATGTGGAAATGTATAGAAATTTCATACTTTAAACGCGCGTTTCTAAATGTGGAGGGGATAAACAGAAGACCTGGAGAAAAATCCACACGACCATGGGGAGAAAGACACGTAAACCACAAATATACAGCAGGCGTCAGGGCTGGGATCGAACCGACGACCTCCTGTATACCAGACGAGACAGTTAATATCTCACCACCATGGCGAGACGTTCCTTATAGCACTGGTCTGCCCACACTCACTTTATTTCGTGCATTTGTTCTCTGGTCAGTGCCCATGGTTCTGATCAATGTCATATTAGGATATGCGCAGTGATTGAAAACGTTTCTCTGCAGGTGCATCCACCTTGCTTTTCATTATCGAAATCGGTTTTCCAAAAGCACACTCACCTGTTTTTTACCCTTTATTATCTTATAAAGTTTCGCCCCACTAATATCGTTCACAGCCGCCATGAGTAACAGGTGTGATGACGTTCGCGATAAATCGTGCCAATGATCGTAAATGTAGCCAACCGATGCGCATAGGTTGGCGACGTACGGTGCGAAAGAAGTGCAACATACATACATACATACAACCCAAAGCCCCTATATTCTGGATAGATGCATGAATTGCGTAGCTGCAGCATGGGACTGGTATGACTCGGCAAGCGGCGTGGATGGCACTGGGTCGCGATAGGCTCAGAGCAGATGGGCCAGCACGTTCGATGACTCTCCTTCCAACGGAGAAATGTGAAAGCGAGCTCGGAGCCACACAGGAGGCACCGAAAGGTGGATCACATTCACGGGAGCTATCATGTTGAACTGCCAGTAGAGCGCACTTGAAATATATAGTGTCTATAATACTTAACGAACATTACTATAGCTAAAACAGTCATTGTAGTAACTGCGAATGATATTTCACAGCGTGTACCTCGTGTTAAATTCCAAACACAGGGTGTGGTCCTTTTGTGAGGGAGTGATGGTTGGGCAAGCTGTGCCTGTGGGGCGGCGTGACTTGATGTGATCGCCTTACAGGTTCATGAGGAGCATTTACATGCATCGAGTCGCCATTGTAAATCGTAAAAGTAAGATAATATGATATGCTGCTTATGGTTGGCAAAAACACCGGCAAGCTGCAGCGCGTACAACATTCTTTGGCACGTGTTGTCACTGAAAGATCCGGCCATGTCCATCCAGTGCTCGTTGAGCTGCATTGGTTTTCCGTTGCTGAACGAATACAATAATACATTACAAGCTCGCTCATCTCGTCAAGGTGCATACACCATCACGCAAACTCCGGTCATCCTCGCAGCAGCAGCTTTTGGCTAGCCTTTGTACAAACACGGTCACTGCATCGCGCACTTTCAGATGCGCTTCTGCGGCCATCTGGAATGCTTTTCTTTCCGATATTAGGAAGCCACTGGAGATATGCACTTTAAAATCTAGATTGAAAACTAATTTCTTCAGAGCTGATTTTTGTGTTTCGTTTGTTGTTCTTCCCCGCACCTCTGATTAGCATGGTTGGCTAAGTACGGTGCGAAAGAAGTCCAACAAGCATACGTACATTGTTAACTGCGCGGGTGAGTCTGAGCAGGGCCTCGTCGGCCATACACATGGTTGAGCCTGAGTTGGGCTGAATAAATAATGAAAATAAGTCATTCAATACATTTTGGAACCTGGAACATCAGACCACGCATAGACAACCTTAATTGTGAACGTCCAGAGTGCCACACTGCAATTGGTGACCCCAAATCTTAGGCGGGGCAACCTGAGGTACAAGAAGGAGGAGGAGGAGGAGGAAGCTGTACCTTCTTCTGGAAAGGTAAACACAGGAGCAAGAATGATGGCTTCACGGCCGCTGGTATGTTTTGCAATCAAGAACGAACTCGCGATCCAACTCAACGAGTTCCCTACGGGAAAGCCAGAAGGGCCTCACTGGGGCCCCTCGGTCACCGTGCCGCCATCTCCGGTGGCGTGTGCCCGGACACTTGCACACCCACGACGGTGAAGTCGACGAGGAATTCGACACCAACCTTGACCAAGTCCTCTTCTGGTGTTCTGGAGGGAGACAGAGACGTATCTTTCTCGGTGACCTCAGTTGCCAGAGGTCAAAAGGACTCATACCTCTGCCACGAAACTATTGGCAAGGAAGGGGTGGGAAGGGTCAACTCCAATGGTATTCAGCTCTTGAACTCAGGCTCACCATCATCAACACCCTGTTCCACCAGAAATGATAATCAGAATCACAACATGTCTTTATACTGGAGGAATTCGATGAGCTATAAAGCTCTTTTTTCACAGATCACAAAAATGTCCGTATCCACTGGAATTATGCTAGGAGCTGATAACTGCTGCACATATTACCGACTCATCCACTCGGTCATGGCCATCAAACTATGCAGGTCGGCATACATTTATTTTCGTGGCATCCCACTTATGTTTAGCAAACTCTGGATGTGGTGGGAAGGTCTTTTGACAGAAATTTCGCCAGATCTCTACGTGGCCCAAACCATTTTGTTTGAGTCGTACGATTCCCTGAGAACCTACTGCGTTGAGTTAGAGCCCCAACTGTCAATCCCCCGCTGGGTGATAACCTTCCCACCCCATGTAGGTCATGGGAGTTGTTTGAACACCATTTGGCTTGATGAAGAGGGAGGTGCAGGACTGGTTTGGATATCACATACCACTGCCCTTAGCCATGGCCCAGAATCTGATTCACACCATCGGGTTCATTGCAAAGTTCAATCGCCCACAGTGGCACCGCTCCCCCAAACTATTTTAGCTATTTGAAAACAAATATTACAACTATGCGTAGTCTAAATGAACGTTCACATGTTTTATTTTACACTATTCTGACGAGGGTTGTAAGCTGAATGTGCTGTGTTACGGTATTTTGGTACAAACATAACATGCAGGATGGCAATGTACTTGAACAACAGTGCCACGAGGCCAGGGGTGGCAGAGAAAGGCCTCAAAGACGTTGCAAGGAAAAACGTGAACACTAAATTATTTCAAATGTCTTTTTTACGTGATAGAAATGTACATGCTGACATTGATTTTTTTTCCCGCAGCACACATTTAAAAGATTAGAATCAGCTGTCTCTGGCTCGCCGCGCGTCGCTCTCATCGGGCGGCGAGGGGACGGGAAATCGTTTGGATCATAAATTAGATCTGATTCGATATTTTTTCCATGAAAGAAAAAATCTGAATCGTGTTACGTGTTCCGACTGACCTTGCATGGATTGGAATGTGACCTGACCCAAAAATTTGGGTAATATCCTGATCGCCTTATCGGCTTCCGGGGGTTGGATGGCATCTTTTGCAGTTCAGCATCCTGGGTTAGATTCCAAAGTAGTGGTTCGGGTGTGATTTATTGGGTTGCAATGGTTGTTTATCATTAGTAATGTGCAACATACCGATAATATTTTCCTTCTTTGTTATGTTGTCCAATGTTTTACTGTTAAAAAAATAAACTTAACTAATTTTCTCACTTGGGAATCAAACCTCACGACTTCTAATTAAACCAGGGGCGCCTGACCCTCTAAACTTCAGTGGCCTGGCCATCAGGGGCTATTTTTAACACACAGTGCATCCAAATCAAAATGTGATTTGGATCACATGTTGCTGACAAGCGATGGCTTCCTAGAAAACGTGAATTGGATCCAATTAGCTCCAATTAGCGTGGAATCAAAATCCAACAGTCAATAGACTCTGAACCGTTCACACCCTCGCGTACAATCCGAGCTGGGACCGAGAAAGTTCCGCGATTGGTTCGCCCCGTGACTGTCACAGGAAAACACCGCCCATGTTTTTAATTGGGCTGATCCCAGGACAAGTGGCAATGCCATGGAGTCATCATGGACTGTGATGTCAACTGTCCAACCCTCGCACCAAGCCTTGGCGTCGTATAGATGTGCTTCTGCGGCCGTCTGGAACGCTCTTTCTTCCGATATTAGGAAGGCATTGGACCTATGAACTTGATTGAAAACTCATTTCTTTATAACTGCTTTTCGTGTTTAGTTTGTTGTCCTTCCCCTGCACCTCCGTTAGCGCAGTCGGCTACATACGGTGCAAATGAAATGCAACATACATATATTACACGGCCCAATTTTTATCTCTCAAAAATTATATATTTACAATAATTGGTTTTTTACCCTTCTATCTGGAAACAAAACTGACACCTTTTTACAAGGAGTCATGTTTGCATAGACCGCAATACCTGCAGTGGGTGGAACCCGAAGCACCCAGAGAAAAACTGCTCATGCGAGGGGGCAACACTATCCAAATTGACGAAACCGTCATTTATAAAATATTTTCCCTGTTTAGGCAATGTTATTAAAGAACGTGTTGAGTTTTAAGCGACTAATGACAGGCAGATTGCATGTCTCTGGCAGTGAATGAGTCATGTGACAGCACTGGTGGCTCACACCTCTGCTTGTATGAATGATTATTCGATGAACATTTTTCCAGGGAACAGCAGATTGGCTCGATCCCATTGGATGTCGATACAAATGGTGAAGTGCTTTAAAAAAAGTTTCAACATTCACTCATGAACTTCAACTGTTTACACTGTCTTCTGGTGGCTGATGG